TCCAGCTCTTTAACTCTTCTCGGAGCTTGGAAAGAGATGTCTCGTCCTCTTCCTCGCACTCAATCGACTCCTCCTCTTGTTCGGGGGGTTTCAAATCAGAACCTTACACTTACTAGGCCTCTTTGTTTTTTTCTAATTGTCTTATAGGGACGTGGGTGTGAAGCGATAACATCATGAGGCCTTTTTCGCAACGACGCAGACGACGAATGAACGGCGCTTGATCCTGCCGAAGGGCCCTGCTCTGGCACTCGACCGCCTTGTCCGGATCGCCATGGACAGCCTCTACAGGCTCTATCTTCTTTCTCACCATAATCTTCATCTGTTTCCATTACTTCTGGTTCTACAAGGGTTGCTTTCCTTGTCCTGGACTTTTTTTTCTCAGGTTTGCTTACTTCCCAATCAGCTATTCCAGCCAACTTCAGATCATTAGAATTAGCCATTTTTGTTCGTCCTGTCATCTGATCTAGATTACAAACAACCCTGGGCCCGTTTGTTCCAGTATTCTATAGTAAAGTTCCCACCTCTGGTCCAGCTTTCCTTTTCTTAAGGGAATTTTGTCGTACACGGAGTCGCCAACCCTTAATTCTACTTCCTTCCTTCCTTTATTTACCTTTTAAATTCTCTTCTTTTGTGCCCATTGTATTCTCTCCACTTGGCCTGGACGAACAATCTATGCTACTGTTCTTATATTATCTGGTGGTGGTTTTCTCTTACGTCTAACATGTCTCTTTCATTATAGCAGCAGACATTAATATCATTCTCTAATGGAGTCCACTTCTCCCTTCCTCTCACCGTAAAGAATTCCTTCACAGAGCTTTCTATTATTTCTGTCTCGCCCCTCACTGCTACTTAATTCTCTCCCTCCTTCATCGTCGTGTTTCATTTCTCTCAACTGTTTTTACAGTTGAGAGAGAGAGAGAGAGAGAGAGAGAGAGAGAGAGAGCAATTTCATTTCTCTTTTTCTCAATCACTCACCTCCTATCCGTTTTTGTGGGGTTTCGAGCCAAAACCCAGGTCTTCTTTACAGAGGATATCGCTTCGTTCTTTTACATGACTCTGTTCTCTACTTCTTTCTACACTTACTTTTACTCTTTGTACGGAACTTAATGATAGGGCCCTTTCTACCTCTCACCCTTCTTAATCTTAATTGTCTTGTTGGTCTGATTAGCCAACATAATAGGTATTACCTCTGCCGCGTCCAATACGGACTCGCGCAAGACCACTTCGCCTTCTTCGGGTCTATATTCCTCTAGCGGGGTCTGTTGAAAAAAACTCCTTCTCCTACTCCTTCCCTTGACACCATCCTATCCCTATCTGATACAGCTATCCTTAGTGGTAATTTTATGCCCTCATCAGCCACCACTGACGCTGACCTATCTGGGGTGCTCCCTAATGACACCTCTACACCATTGACAATCAACACTGTGGGGTTGAACTCACTCCCCCCTGTTCCTGTGACCACTCTCCCCCAGGGTCATCTCCCAACAGAAATCCGAGACCACATTGAATTTGTGGACACTGGTTGTTCATAAAACATTCGCCGGGAGCGTTATGATTCCTGTTATCTTCAGGCTTTTGTAATGTTCTTCTTGTATTGAGGACAACGATTCCCCCGTGTCTATGAAGGCCCTCATTGACTTTCCTTTTACCACAGCCTCGCAGGGAAATTCTTCCTCTTGGGTCAGTGAGGAAAACACCCTGGCTACCCTCCCTCTGGGGCTATGTCTCTCTGCACATTCAGACATTGGTTCAGACAACAATGACTCTTCATCATCACTGCAGCGCTGGGCCCACCTTTGTCTTCTTTTACGTCGTGGTGCACCCAGGCAGGTCTCCCGGGGTTTACCCTGTCTATTTCTATAGGGGCAGTTGGTAGCAAAATGGCCATCCCGGCCACATGTTCAACATCGCATCTTTCTCATATAGGGGCAATTTCTCTTCAGGTGTCCTGGTTCGTTACAGAACCAGCACCTTTTTTCAGAGTAGCAAAATGGACGACCCGGTTACATAGCCAGCATCGCATTACTGTTCCCTTTAACTGAGTCACCCTCCTCCTTACTCTGGTCCTTTCCTGTTCCCCCGGTTCTGTATTCCAGGGGTGGGTTCTTTTAACGTGGGAATCCGGTGGTTCTTTCTTTATCTCACACCATCTCGCCTTATGTCCACGACGACCACAACTGGTGTATCTCGATTCGTCGTAATCCGTGGGTAATCCCCACCTTGTTGGACCGTTCACTGCCCTATGGCCTTCATCATGACAGGTCCGACATATCGGCCTCAAACAATCTGGTGTGAGTTTGTAAAACCCATATTCCTACATCCGCGCCATTCTATTGGGAACCTCTTCCTATTCCTCCGGTTCGATCTCTTCCTACCTGTCTACCCTCCGACCCCGCTCTTGTGACTTCTTCTCTTTTTCTTTTTCTCATATCCCCTGGCTAGCCTTGGCTAGCGCCACCGCTCTCGACAGCTTGACCGGTGCTTCCTTTATGACGTCATGCCGTATGCGTTCATTCTGGAGCACATCTACGTATAAATTGGCCAGCTGGGCGTGAATAACGGCGTTGTTCCTCACTTCTTCCGAGAAAGCCAGTAAAACCAGCTTCTCCGCCTTAACTCCCAGCGTCCCGGGAGTTTCGTCCCTAAGTTGTACTAATTTCTTCAATCGCCGTACCCTCGTCGGCATACTTATGTGTAGTTTCTCCAGCTCTTTCCAAGTCAAACGGGGGTCCCTCACTAAGAGATACCCCTATGAACTTCGAAACTGTCCCCACCGCAACGTTAAACATCACGTATACAGTTTTTCTATCGGACAGTTCATATTATAAGAGTTGTACTTTCTCGACTGACACTAGCCAGTCTTTTAGTTCCTTTGGCTCTCCTCCAAAGGCTGGAACCATGGGTCCCCCTAACAATCGCCACAGTTGTTGCATCGCCACTTCATCCTTAACCTCTACCACATCAGAACTCTCTGACCCGTGGTAACTCATGCTAAACAAATCGACTTAAATCGAGAAAAAAATCGGAAAATCGAAATAAAATAGCAATTCGTCTTGGCGAGACTCAACAATAAAAATCAAGAACCCTCAGGGAAAAACCGAAAAGTGTCCTACCCGTCACTTGGTCCCGCGTTGCTGTTGGTTTATCGAGAGACGAAAAAACTACGAGGTGTATTTTTAGAACCGTATGCTCAAAATGACCAAAGTCCATTGGTTCTCACCCCTTTTCTTGTTCCCCTCCTTTCTGTTGTCTGTTTCCTGGTGTTGGCCGTAGTCAACCCGGGGCCAAATTCGATGGTCAACGGGAGTAATTTTCGTCTTCTGTCCTGGTCCACGGCAGACAATTGTCGTTCTACACCCTCTCCGAGCGTCCAAGACGTTCAATACCACAGCTAATTGATGAAGTGATCGCTTCGATCCAGGTCCTGCCTTATCCCACGTTGCGATTTGCTTTGATCATAAGGCGGCCAAGATCGAAAATAATACTCGAATAAATTTAAAAAAATACTATTTTTATATAAAGTCCTTCGTACAGTAATTCGTTAATTGTTGTTAAATCTAAGAGTTCGCATGCAACAGATTATCTGCCCAACTCGCATCTAACTCGGACGTGACACTTTGTTGACTTGGTAAAGTTCATTTTACTGATTTAGTAAAGTTCGGCAGGTTCTCGTCGGCAGATAATCACTTGGGGTGTCTTACGTTCGGTGGCTGGAACGAAATCTCTCACTCGCTTCGAATCATTCGTGTTTATTGACGTTCACCTAAACCGGCGCGGGGCACGACGTAGTTGGGGAATTTGGTGTTCCCCCCTGCCTGTCATCTCCATTGTCTGGGTCCTGCATAATTTCGGAGAATTCCCCTCTTCCAAGAGTGATAGTTCCATGTATTACTTTGTCCCATAACTTCCACTTCCTCTTATTATCATCTCCCACTAATCCCCCTCAGTGGGCGTGGGTGACTCCTCCAATTTCCTTGGTGACTCATCTGTGCCCGCTACCTCAGCCACCCTCCGACCAGGAAAGTTCATTGTTTATGCAGAAAAGTTTCCCATTCATATCCCGTATTTTTAGCGGTGTGTGTGTGATCGACCAAGTCGCAGTTCAAATCCACGTCAACTATACGTGTTTCATTGTTTAAAACCCCGACACACAATTCAGATGGCTGTCTACATGAGATTTAAGTCTTCAATTTTTCCCACGGAGTTTATTCATTAACTCTTATATTTTTTATCAGGGGTCTGTCAGTATATCGCTTCTTCTATTAAAAAAAAACCTTCTTATAATTACCAATAACAAATAATTTTACAAAATACAGCTCACACATTACAAAGACCATTATGTATCTGTGCGATCTATGGTCTTCATTTCGTTTTTGTTTTTACTAAAATGATCAGTTGAAAGTTTCATGAAGCTATTTCTGACCTTAGGTCTCTGGTTTGAACCCGGAAGGAAATGTGTATGTAACAGAAATCAAAGGAACTAATAATAATAATAATAATAATAATAATAAAGTGAAGTTTATGATGGTAAACACAAGAATCTGAAGTGATGACAAAATATGAAATAAAGATATATGCGTGTGTTGCTGCGCAGAGAACATCTGAAAAACAAAAGATAGTCGTTAATAATGGTAGATCGAGAAAAGTGGATCAGGGTTGGTTCCACCACAATGAATACTTATAAAACAAGACAAGAGCTGTCACTTATATGAGGAAAGAGATGATACAATGATTCATACGAAAGTAAATGCAGAAAATTAAAACTAAAGGAATAATAAAAAAAACAACAGACAACTAAGAGACATTCATTTAGGAAATCATCCAAATATTATAAACAATTGCATTAAGTGTGACTCGCTGAAGGTAGCTTTGGATAAAAATGAATCATTATATGGAAGACGAATAATTATACTTGATTATTGTTCACAGGTAAAGACATATTACGAATAGCAAATAGTTGTTACAGAGAATAAGAAAATAGAGTAATATGAGTATGTTCGGAAAGTAACGACGTCTTTCACAGCTATTAATTTTGAGTCAATTAAACAAGGCATAACAATGGTTGAAGTATAGGAAACTGCATCTAGAATTGGTTTATTATTTCTTCTATTTAGCAGTGGGTGAGTTTTCAGTACATTTCATAGGTTAATCTAATAGAGGACTATAACTTTAAAAAGAAACATATTCGCCATTCCATACTCTATGGATTATAATATTGTTACAGTATTGTCATATTGAATTGTTGCAGACGTATTTAAAAAAACATTTATGCAGTGCATGCGGATGTACTGAAGGCTCGTAAATGCCAGGTATGTTATAAAAGATTTAAAATAGACGACTAAGACATGTCCGACAAGCCTTGCCCGAAAAGACAATTCACTCAGTATGAAGAACTTTTGAAAATTAACCATTGCCCTATGTCGAGTTGGCATATATATAATTACTAAGCTTAGATTATCCTGGTACAAGGTCATAAGTATTGGGTATTCAGTGAGGATTAAAATAATTCCAGAATTATTGTTCTGTGTTGTGTCGCCCTTGTAAAGTGTGTTTCATTAAGACGGATTATATATAAAGGGTGTTTCATTAAGACGGATCAAAGTCAGCAGGAAATAAATCAGTGTTACTAGTAAAAATTTATTTATTTCTCTATTGGATTATGTTATTTAAGTCATGGCAATTATGTGTGAAAAATAATCTCGCCTAAATATCTGCAAAATCTGAAAGAAAAAGAAAAAAAATCATTAGACGCTTAAACTGAATTCATATTTAAAATAGGTGCAAGTTATTGGAACACACTCTATTCACATCGAAAAATTAGACAGCACGATCACGAGACCCATATATTTTTGGGGTCGTAAGGGCACCACATGTACTGCAGCCGCAGAAGCAGTGGTGTGTCTTGGGCAAGATAGCCTGACGGAGTACAACCCCGTCTATACTGATTTGAAT